AACAGATTAACTGTCCTGCCTAACTACAAATCAAGTGTGTGTATGTGTCCAGTTTAAACCCCCTGGTCAGCCGTCACAATAAATGTACACACTCACTTTGGTTTTGGTATTTATTGATTCAGTAACATTTACATACCAGGTAAGAGGAGATTAGGATAGGTATGATCTTTAATAACCAGGGTGTACTGGTTATACCTCGGGTGTCATTATAAAGTCTGTACAACAGATTGGTGTTTTGTCTTATTTTCTGTGTTCATCCATCTGTCTGTTCATCCATCTGTCTTTGTCTTATTGTCATTGTCTCTCTATTTTATCTGTCTTTTATTGTGCATCTGTTTGTCTTTTTCCACCAGTCTGTCTTCGTCTCTTTGTCTTTTAATCTGTCTGTTTTTGTCTGTATTTATCTGTCACTGTCTTTGTCCACTAGTCTGTCTTCGTCTCTTTGTCTTTTAATCCGTCTGTTTTTGTCTGTATTATCTGTCACTGTCTTTGTCCACAGTCTGTCTTCGTCTCTTTGTCTTTTAATCTGTCTGTTTTTGTCTGTATTTATCTGTCACCGTCTTTGTCCACTAGTCTGTCTTCGTCTCTTTGTTTATTTACTTGTATGTTTTTGTCTGTCTTTATATCTATCTGTCACATCCCTATGTCACACAGACTTTACAAGTATAAGACGTGTCTTGTTATGTAAGTCACTTTCACTCCGACTGTATCTGAATGTTTGTTTGTTTTATGTCAGGCCTGAGATTGACCTGGAACATCAGCTACTAGTCTACTAGATGACCCACAGCACAGTTCTGTTTGATAGGAGAGAGAGAAACATGAAATATCACTATCTCATCCTCACCTTCTATATCTAACCATTTCTATTGAAGGCACCTAACCTTATTTTACCTCATTAGAACATACTTTTTATTTCACACGAGACACTATAGTAAGTAATGTATGGGGAGATAACTCTTAAAGCAAAAGGATCCAAATTAATATTTACATCATTAGAAAATAGATTTGATAAAATATACTGGCAACATATAGTTTACAACCAATTTGGAATTTCTAACTGACAGCTATTACTTATTTATAACTAACAGCTAGTAAGTAGTTTAGAACTCATTAATGACAAAATAGGAAATTTTGAATGACAATTAGTTGGAAACTAAAGCTAAATCAGAACTTGTGTGAATGACAACTGATTTGGAAGTTTTTATGCTTGTTTAGAACTTGTGAATGACAACTGATTTTGAAATATTTAATGCTTGTTTAGAACTTGTGAATGACAACTGATTTTGAACTTATAACTGACAACGGATGATCAGTTGGGACCTTCTGAATAATAATTGCTTGCACATGAAGTTGCTGACAACTGGCTTGTAAAGATGATGATAACGAACATGGTGCTGTGACCACTAATTAGAGCTAGCTGACATACAGACCCTAAGTAGGTCTGATGACATATCAACTCACTGGTGATGAGAGAATTACCTGCCTACCAATACATCACTTGTCTATGAGATGCTTGACTGTATTAAGTTATAGCTGCTGGTACAACACCGTCTGCTGTAGCCCTGTCGCTACAGTACATACATCAAACCTGTATCTATTCTCACTGTAGCCCTGTCGCTACAGTACATACATCAAACCTGTATCTATTCTCACCGGCTCTGGGCGTTTCTTGTCTCGAAACGAAAATTAAAGTTATCAAAACTTCAAAATGCTTGAGGTAGTCTCCCACTGGGAATCCAACAGGAAGACGACAGAATATTAGATAGGTTCTGATAGGCAACACATATTAAATGTATTAAGTACAATTTCTGTATTCATTACTGTAGATGAGATACATTGGAACCTCTTTCTGATTTCGATATCAAAAAGTGGTCTCTCACGACCAATTACTATAGGTTCAAGTTGATTACCGATGACTTACTGTGGCTGGAAACCAACAAGGTATTAACACGATCTTGTCCCTGTATGAATGTGGTGGGTTGTTACATGCATGTGCGTGCATGTGACACGTGAATTTTATGCTATTGGATGATTTTGGATTATTTTACTGTAAATGTAGGATGTCTCCCTTGGCACCCGTCTTCAAATGACAAAACCTATTACACAGACGTTAAAGCCTAACAAACAAACCGGTGTGGACCTGCATTAGATACCTGGTTCCACCACTAGGCATCATACCAATTGTCTCCGCACTGCCATTCTATCTCACTTTTCAGTCTAGACCAGGTATTTAATTAATAAATTATAGTTCATTTGAATGCAAGATTATTGTTCACAACATTGCTATGTGTATACCTACAGCGATAACTTCTGTAGAACTCAGAGGTTATCATTAATTCAACATTTTTATAGTGACATCGATCTGCTGTGAATCAATTGATGTTTCTGCATCTAAGATTCATTGTGGAAAGAGTTGTTTATTGTAAATTGTTTATACAAAAGCTGATATTGCTGTGCGACATGGGATTTTTATAAAACCATCAACTTTGAGTCTACTTCTATAACATGTAACAATTTATCATACATATGAATATAATATACCATACATATGTAATATATACTGTGTACAATATTTATTATGTAATATAAATATTACATGGATAATATGTTTTATATTACATAAATAATTAAATTATTGTCACATACACTGCTATATTTTGTATACATGTGTAGCGAGATGGGGTGGGAATAAGCAGATCTGCTACACCAATTACTCCCTCGTCTTCCAAATCTTCGCCTCTGAAAATTTTACTATTACAACCCAGGTATGGTGATGTCCTAGCCAGAACCACACACTACATGTGACAAATGTCCAGGTATAGCGATATCCTAGCCAAAACCTCACACTACGTGTGACAAATGTCCAGGTATGGGGATATCCTAGCCAAAACCACACACTACATGTGACAAATGTCCAGGTATGGCGATATCCTAGCCAAAACCACACACTATGTGTGACAAATGTCCAGGTATGGCGATGCCCTAGCCAAAACCAGACACTACATGGGACAAATGTCCAGGTATGGCGATGTCCTAGCCAAAACCACACACTACATGTGACAAATGTCCAGGTGTGGCGATATCCTAGCCAAAACCACACACTACATGTGACAAATGTCCAGGTATGTAGATGTCCTAGCCAAAACCACACACTGCATGTGACAAATGTCCCGGTATGGCGATATCCTAGCCAAACCCACACACTACGTGTGAAAAATGTCCAGGTATGGCGGTGTCCTAGCCAAAACCACTCACTACATGTGACAAATATCCAGGTATGGTGATGTCCTAGCCAAAACCCCACACTGCATGTGACAAATGTCCCGGTATGGCGATATCCTAGCCAGAACAACACACTACGTGTGACATATGTCCAGGCACCTATTTATTACCGGATGCAAAAAATGCACTGGGCCAGATTTGGATTCCAACCTCGGTCATCACTGTAGACTGGAAGGGACACCATGTAAAACTCAGTTCAACTCCTTAGATTTCACCTAATGAACACTGTGTACAAGAATGTCCTAGCCAAAACCCCACACTGCATGTGACAAATGGCCAGGCACCTATTTATTACAGGATGCAAAAAATGCACAGGGTCAGATTTGGATTCCAACCTCGGTCATCACTGTAGACTGGAAGGGACACCATGTACAACTCAGTTCAACTCCTTAGATTTCACCTAATGAACACTGTGTACAAGAATGTCCTAGCCAAAACCACACCCTATGTGTGACAAATGTCCAGGCACCTATTTATTACAGGATGCAAAAAATGCACTGGGTCAGATTTGGATTCCAACCTAGGTCATCACTGTAAGGTATGGTGATGTCCTAGACAAAACCACACACTGCATGTGGCAAATGTCCAGGTGTGGCAATATCCTAGCCAAAACCTCACACTACGTGTGCCAAATGTCCAGGTATGGAGATATCCTAGCCAAAACCTCACACTACGTGTGACAACTGTCCAGGTATGGCGATCTCCTAGCCAAAACCACCCACTACATGTGACAAATGTCCAGGTATTTCGATATCCTAGCCAAAAACACACACTACGTGTGACATATGTCCAGGCACCTATTTATTACAGGATGCAAAAAATGCACAGGGTCAGATTTGGATTCCAATCTAGGTCATCACTGTAGAATGGAAGGGACACCATGTAAAACTCAGTTCAACTCCTTAGATTTCACCTAATGAACACTGTGTACAAGAATGTCCTAGCCAAAACCCCACACTGCATGTGACAAATGGCCAGGCACCTATTTATTACAGGATGCAAAAAATGCACTGGGTCAGATTTGGATTCCAACCTAGGTCATCACTGTAGACTGGAAGGGACACCATGTACAACTCAGTTCAACTCCTTAGATTTCACCTAATGAACACTGTGTACAAGAATAAGGAGATTTATATACAAGAATAAAGAAATTTACTGCCTTTATCAGTACACCATGACTGTGGACTGGTAATCAATTACATTTTGATCTAAAGACATGAATGGTTGTCAATTACAGCAGCTGCAATTCTTAAAATTTTGATTTTAGTCGGTTTAAGCTTTAATGCAAAGCTATAAAATAGAATAATGAGTATGAAGAAAGCTACTTCTTAAAACTAACTAAAGTGACCACAAAAACAGGTCCAATACTTTCGGTTGGACCCAGTACATTATTAATGTTTCTAAGTAATAGGCCAAATAACTTTTATAAATATTTGTTGAAGTATCTTTTAATAACACCTTTCTGTTTGTTAGAAACTTTATATTGCGATGTAACCAAATTAAATATGGCTTGTAAGTGGCCATTATAAGTAGTGGGATGATGGCTAACTCTGACAGGTATCCCAGATCTAACTCTATTGCCTTTGTGTTGTCACCACCCAGTGACCATTCGCCCCATTTTGCTGTTCATTGTCAAATTTATAATCTTCTCAATTCATGCTTCTCAATAGCCAGGTACTTGTATTGGCCTTAAAATTTAAAATTGGTGATATTTGTAGGGTGAGAACTACGGTCGTCTGCGGTGAGCCAGCGGAAGGAGGGCTAGCTCTGTCACCTGGAGGAGTACACCTGGCCCTGTCAGCCATAACAGAGCTTACTAATCCAGAGATATCACTTCATTTACCTGGGATTAATTTTCACATGTTTTGACAAAAAGCTTTAGAGCAGTTGGTCCCAGGAAAACTGTGCGGCTGAGAGTTAGGTGTACACCTAAAACTAATGAGGACATGCCCTGTTTTGACAAAAAGCTATAGAGCAGTTGGTCCCGAGGAGGAGAACGGTGTGACTGAGTGTACACCTATAACTAATGAGGACCAGCTCACGCCTCACCCTACCGCCCAACCAATCTAACGGTTGTTATGTCATCACTCTGTGGGTACATATCCTAGCACGGTCTGTCAAATCTGTCGCCTCCAACAGTGACAAGTAGAACTTTTTCATTTATCATTAAAAATAATGGTAAAACCAACCTTTGATATTTTTACTGTGTAATCTCTTGGTTCTTAGGCTGTTCTGACAATAGACAGTGAAAGCACATCAACTTGGGCTAGGTACTGATCATAAGTCATAACGGTATATGCTACATTACATTTTGTATCTGCGATTGAGTTATCTCCCTTTTGTATTTAATTAGCATTATCTTAATAATTTGTTACTACCTGCATGTATCATTGTGTACCTTCTAAAACTGTCATAAATTAATTTAAAACAAATCCAAATTATCTAATGGAAAGATGTTTCACCGAAGTCCACACAAAGAAAGAGGACCTCTGGTTCTATTTTTAGTGTGGACCTCTGGTTCTAATTTTAGTGTGGACCTCTGGTTCTAATTTTAGTGTGGACAGGAGATAGTGATCCAGTATGGTCACAGTATTTACAACTATACTTAGTGAGGGCATCACCAAGTTGAGGAAGTCACATCTCAGTTATTGTTTTAGTCAATAAAAAATCAGCAAAGATGTTAACACCCGACTGCAAAAAATGACATCGATTGAACAGTTAAATTGGAGAGAGAAAAGTGAAAGGTGACACTAATTTGTCTACAATCCCAGAAGTTGCGAATTTATCTTGGTCAATGTAAGTGAAACTATAACATCTAACTGTTTTGTTCCAACAGGTTCAGTTTACCTAGATATCTACCTGTTTTCAGTTTGACATAGATTTTAATCCTAATAAATATTCAATCGTCATCATTCATTTGTCGTCATCATCATTATCATTTTTCCAGAGCTGATTTATTGGAGGTTCAATTCCAAAAGAAAAATGGGTTAACATTGAGAAAATAAATGAAAGATGTCATTTTGAATGATGAAATGATTTTTTTTAATTTGGCCTTGAACCTTCCCATAAAACCCCTACTGTACTGAGAAAATCACGTTTTTTATACTGCACTTACAAAAGTACGGTAATATTTTCATTAATGTATATATGATGACAGGGAGGCATTTACCTTAAGTATATCTCAGGATTTCCTCTTCTTAAAGGACAATTACCAAACCTTTGAGGATTATCTACCAAAACAAATTATCTCAGGATTTCATCAATTTGGAAGATATCCTAGAATTTTCAAACTGAAGAGATCTTTACTAAAACAAAGAGGATATTACAGGTTATTTGAAGAGTACCATATTGTACAGGATATCTACTTAAAACGACAAGACATGCCAGGATTCATACAACTTAAAGGATAACTCAAAATTCCCAAAACTAACAGAATATCAAGCTTCAAATACTTCAAAACCTTACATGCTAGTTGCCAAATCCTAATCATTTCGGATATCTTTACAGAATATCTACCAAATCTTAGAGGATATCTACCAAATATAACAGAATATCTAACAAACTTACAGGGTATGTACCAAACCTTATGGGAGATCTTCCAAAACTTATAGGATATCTAACAAAATTACAGGATACCTACCTCAACTTACAGGATATCTAACAAAAGTTACTGGATATCTTTCGAATATTACTGGATATCTACCGGAACTAACAGGATATCTACCAAAAGTAACAGGATATCTTTTAAAATCTTACAGAATGTCTACCAAAACTAACTGGATATTTTTCGAATATTACTGGATATCAACCAAAACTAACAGGATATCTAGCAAAAGTTACAGGATATTTTTTAAATCTTACTGGATATCTACCAGAACTAACATGATATCTACCAAAAGAAACAGGATATCTTTTAAAATCTTACAGAATGTCTACCAAAACTAACTGGATATCTATTGAATATTACTGGATATCAACCAAAACTAACAGGATATCTAGCAAAAGTTACAGGATATTTTTTAAATCTTACTGGATATCTACCAGAACTAACAGGATATCTAACAAGTTACAGGATATCTTTCTAATCTTATTGGATACCTTCCAAAACTTACAGGATATCTACCAAAACTTACAGGATATCTACCAAAACTTACATGATATCTAACAAAAATTACAGGATATCTAACACAATTTAATGGATATCAAACAAAATGTACAGGGTATGTACCAAAACTTACAGGATATCTACCAAAACTTACAGGATATCTACCAAATCTTAGAGGATATCTACCAAATCTTAGAGGATATCTACCCAATCTTAGAGGATATCTACCCAATCTTACATAATATCTCGCAAAACTTACAGGGTATCACCAAATCTTAGAGGATATCTACCAAAACTTATAGGATATCTACCCAATCTTAGAGGATATCTACCCAATCTTACATAATATCTCGCAAAACTTACAGGGTATCACCAAATCATACGGGATGTACACCAGTGTCATGTACCCCTGTGTCAAAGTGTGCACCTTTTGTTATATTAAACACCTGTTTTATCATGTGCACCTGTAATATAGTTCCATATTGTAGCACTAGAAATGATTAAAAAAAAAAAATTTCAATGTCATTTTCTGAATAAATCTTTTCTCAATTAAAATTTTGGGACATTGAATGTCATCAAAAAAGTCCTTGAGAGATTGGATATTAAGTACTTAATGATAAATGACTTTGCTGAAAGGAAGTTGATACAGAGGAGTCAGTGTGGTGGAAAGCATTTCAACATTTCTTTAGCTTTTCTCGTTTTATGGAGATTGGTCAGTTTCATAGCTGTACATGACATTTTTGTCGGTACTCTTAATGATTTATTGCTATTTTCTATATATTTGTAATAAATTTTTGTAAGCTGATATTCTGATTACATAGAGATTGATTGATCAAACGTGACCTTACCTCTGTATAAACAAATTCAATATGTATTAACAAGTGTATGTAAATACTGGATAAACGCTATACAAATTAAATTCTCCCAGACTAACAGGATTTTTTTAAGTTCGGTTTTAAATCATTCTCATCCTTTAAAAATGATTTACCGTTGGCAAAATAATTTTAAGATAAAGTAACAAACTTTGCCTGATGAGACTACAATCACGTTTATGTTTTTTTAACCTTTAACGGAACCATGTAAAATCAACCTGACAGTATTTAAATTGTAGCCTATATCTATCCCTACATGATTGTTTACCTAGTCTTCCGCAATCAATACCACCGAAGACAGTTAAATACACTCATCCACATTTTGATTGTCTTGCTCTGTGAAAGCAAAATATGATACACTGTATATGTAATTGACAGCGTAATATTTACCTCCTGGTTAGATAATTGTGTAGTAGGACACAGGAATTCAACAGATTATCCTAAGTGTAGTAGGACACAGGAATTCAACCGATTATCCTAAGAGCATGTTTAGAACAGACCCACAGGACAGGAGGAACGTATGTCAGCAGTAAAATACATTCCTCACCTGTCCGTATTTGTGTTAATTGACACAAAACCCCAATCAGCCTCACACTCAATTAAACCTGAGCCTGCAATGTTTGAACAGACTACTGATAAAGCCACTGCCAAAAGAGAAATAACACTATTGAACACGATAGTTACAGGCAAAAAGGCTGTGCACCGGTGAGATTAATGTTAATTGTTTTAAGTACCTGCTCGTTACGGAGTTATCTGGCTCTTGGCTGTCGATGGTTGTTTATGCAATCACTCCCTCTGTCACATGGGATGTAGGAGGGATGGCACTTAATTCTGATCTTTGGCGCAAGCACGTCAGCTGTTCAGGCCTGGACGGGTCGATTGGTCATGCAGTTAACTGTCACTCTCAATCAATCGCTTGATGACTCAAAACGGCCCGCTGCAAAAAAAATCACTGATTTACCAAAGTGCAGGTCTTTGAAAAAAATATCCGGAATTGATTGAATCCAAGGTAAACGAATGTTTTGTCAACTGAGCTGTCACTGACACGAATATGTTCAGGCGTTATACCTCCTTTCTCATTAAGAAGTATCAATTGGACTTGAACGGTATATGTTGATAGTGCACAATGGGTCTATCTACCCTACAGAACTAAGCACATGGAGAAAACAAGCTATCGTCTGAATGAAGGACATCACACTGCCTGTTGGGTGAGCGAGCAGATCACTGATCCAGTCTGCGTCTGGGCCCACTGTGACGGTCTCAATGCCTAACAATACTACAAGTTTCCATTGCCTAGATTATCTCGGCCAGAAATCAATAGATCCTTTTCAAACAGTATAATTTTCATTGAATGACAATTCTATAATACACCATAGTGACGGCCCACGATCCTCACACATTATCAGCTAGTACTTTCTACATTGTGTGACTTGTGCGATGTCAAATTGTATTTATTACACTAAAAGGACAGGAATTCATATAAAACACCTTTTTAATCCTGTCTTTTTCAGGTTATTATCCAAGTATCCTGTTATTAGATGGACAGTTATAATTTCTCAAAAGTGAAAAATTTAAAATATTAATGTACTGTAGCGGTTTGTTTGAACTATTGCAATTTCTGTAAAACAACAATTATCTGTAATAAAAGGTGACACGGCGGAGCGTATATATTGAAACAAGATGACTGCATGCACACGTCTGTAAACAGCGGATCGTGTAAAACTGGATATTAAATAAGCTTTGGCTGTTGAATAACTGTAGAAAGTAAATCAGCGATCTCTGATCACTTGTGTTCAGTCGTTGTGAAAGTCGTGTTGTCCATTTATCAGATTATAAATTTTACAAGTGTTTATGTAAAAACTGTTTTCGCTTGGTTACACCTGAAGAAAATGTTTTTTATATCCTGTACCTTTTATATGTAATTTTGCTTTCAAACAGAGCGTAGGTAAAGAAAACATAAACACCCCTTTTATGAGCACTTACATTTTTGTACAGTGATTGTCTACACTAGTCTACCTATCACAGACTTTTTTTATATGTTTTACACTGAAACTGTAAAGAAACGTTATAGTTTTGACAGCGTTACTGACTAAGAGTGAAGAAATCATTTGATTTGAGAAAATGACTGGTCTACTTTGTATATGAGTAGGATAAGGTCAGATGGAGGACCAGAGGCAGTAAATCTATACTAAACCCTGATGATGCACAATTGTAGGCTAGTTTGTTGGAATCTTGTAAAATGCTTGGAAGAGTCTGGTTCCTGTCCTTGTAGACATGAGATATATGGGAATCAATGAGATGTAGGCTTATACAGTATCAATGGACAACTGCTACGAAGCATCTCAGCTTTTTATTGAGCAGGATGATTGGACATTAAGGAGCCATTTGATGTGTCGTTATAGTATCTCATTACATGTCAATGTAGTGTCCTATAGCAATTAATGTGGTAACAGATGTCATACTATTGTTTAAGTGACTTACAACATGTCATTGTAGTGTCTTATATCAATGTGGTAACAGATGTCATACTATTGTTTAAGTGACTTACAACATGTCATTGTAGTGTCTTATATCAATGTGGTAACAGATGTCATACTATTGTAAAATTGTCTTACAACATGTCATGGTAGTGTCCTATAGCAGTGTGAGTCTCTTACAACAAGTTAATGTCATTGTAGTGTCTTAGTGAATGTCAGTGTTGTGTTTTGTAGTGTCTTAGAGTATTGTTTTGTAGTGTCTTATTTATGTCATTGTAGTGTCTTAGTGAATGTCAGTGTTGTGTTTTGTAGTGTCTTAGTGAATTGTTTTGTAGTGTCTTATTTATGTCATTGTAGGGTCTTAGTGTTTGGCATTGTAGTGTCTTAGTGTATGTCAGTGTTGTGTTGTAGTGTATGCCATTGTAGTGTCTAAGTATATGTCATTGTAGTGTCTTAGTGTATGTCAGTGTTGTGTTTTGTAGTGTCTTAGTGTATTGTTTTGTAGTGTCTTATTTATGTCATTGTAGTGTCTTAGTATGTTATTGTAGTGTCTTAGTATATGTCATTGTAGTGTCTTAGTGTATTGTTTTGTAGTGTCTTTGCACATGTCATTGTAGTGTCTTAGCATATGTCATTGTGGCGACATAGTATGTCATTGTAATGTTTTAGTGTATGTCATTGTAGTGACTTAGTGTATGTCATTGTACTATCTTATTGCATGTCAATGCTGTGTCTTAGTACATGTCCCTGTAGTGTTTTAGTGTATGTCATTGTAATGTCTTAGCATATGTCATTTGTATGTCTTAGTGTATGTTATTAGGGTTCTTAGCGTATGTCATTGTAGTGTCTTAGTATGTCATTGAGTGTCTTAGTGTATGTCATTGTAGTGTCTTAGTGCATGTCATTAGTTTATTAGCATATGTCACTGTAGTTTCTTGGTATGTTGTGTCTAAGTTGTCGTTGTAGTGTCTTAGCATATGTCATTGTAGTGTCTTAGCATATGTCATTGAAGTGTCTTAGCATATGTCATTGTAGTGTCTTATTATGTCATTGGAGTGTCTCAGTGTATTTCATTGTAGTGTCTTAGTGTATATCATTGCTATGTCTTACAGTGTATGTCATTGTTTTGTCTTAGTGTATGCCAGTGTAGTGTTTTAGTGATTGCATTGTGGTGTCTTAGTATATGTTATTGGTGTGTCTTAGTGTTAGTCACTGTAGTGTCTTATTATGTCACTGTACTGTCTTAGCATATGTCATTGTAGTGTCTTAGTGTTTGTCATTGTTTTGTCTTAGTGTATGTCAGTGTAGTGTTTTAGTGTATGTCACTGTGGTGTCTTCGTATATGTTATTGGTGTCTTCGTGTTTGTTATTGGTGTCTTCGTGTATGTTATTGATGTGTCTTAGCGTATGTCATTGTAGTGTCTTAGTGTATGTCTTTGTAGTTTCTTAGTGTATGCCACTGTAGTGTCTTAGCATATGTCATTGTAGTGTCTAAGTATATGTCATTGTAGTGTCTTAGTGTATGTCATTAGTTTATTACCATATGTCATTGTAGTGTCTAAGTATATGTCATTGTAGTGTCTTAGTGTTTGTCATTGTAGTGTCTTAGTGTATGTCATTAGTTTATTACCATATGTCATTGTAGTGTCTAAGCACATGTCATTACATATGTTACATGGTTGGGTTACTGTCCTTATCTTGTAATCAAAATGACAATTGTTTTTCAAATTTGACATTGTGATGTATAGATGTGCAAACGAGGTTTTTAAATATTTGAAGGTCAAACCCAAGGACACAGCAACTGTTACTAAAAATAGAGGCTGGGGGTTATGATCCTTATCTCAGAATCCAAAAGATTCATCTTTATGAAAATTGACATAGTGAAAAACTGTGATATTCAGATGTGCAATAGTGGTTTAAAAAGATTTCAAGATTAAGTCAAGGTCACTTACTAAAAATAGACCATGGGGGTTATGGTCAGACATATGGCAAGGCCTGCACTGTCAGTGTATAGTTACCTTAGTCATATCATGTCATTGCTTAACCCCATGATGTTTTATTGATTTATGCCTTGTAGAGTCTAATAGTCACATTGAAGTGCCTTAGATGATAAAAGTGTTGTTTTCATAGCAATTGGTGTCTAAATATATGTTATTTTAGTATCATTTCACATGGCATCTCCTTGCCCTTTGAGAATATTTATTTTAGATTCATATAAAATTTAGTGCAGTTCTGTTGTACTAGTTCTGTGCTATATTTATAAGTGTCCGCATTGTTATACAATCAAACTCCCTTGGTTAAATGGTAAAAGTTCTGTTTATAATTACTTGTACACATTGTACACCTCATACTACTGTTCAAATGGCATTGCTTTTGTTGGAAGAAAATTTAAAAGTAAAAACAATACAGATATATTTTTCAATTCTCAGGGTGGTTGGAATGTGCCAGTATGGATGAGGATAACACCTGATCGGGTACCCCTGTCTCCCTGTCGCCACGCTCCTCCCCTGGGTTTACACACCGTAAAATCTTGAAAGCTTAGATTTGGCGAAGACATTAAGGAAAAGGTATGACACCAAAGTTCCGAAAGTGCATATACATTACTAGTAGAATCAGATCAGTTTTCCAGCAATACTCAAAGGCCCATTCCACTCTCCATTTGTACAGGGAATGGTACAATAGACTAAACAGTCTCTGACTTAATTCCTGACTTTAAGGTAATTAGGTTTGCTGTGTCCCATCCTTACTGGGAGTTTTATCAGTATATTTCATCACACAGACATATCCAGCGAGTACTGTCACCCTGCCAAAGTTGATCAATCTACACACCCCTGTTTACTACACTCACTTCTCCAAATGGCTGTTTCCTTTAATTCTGTTTTATCCAAGGATAGGAAATTGCAGAAGACTGGAATTTTGAATTTGCATGGCTATATAAATATACAAAAAGCATCCGAAGTCCTTGTGATTGTTAAATATAAAAAGAAATGCCAAAAGAGTTTTTTTAATAAATCCCTAGAACTTTCACCTCTTTAGAGGTTCATCATATATATATGCGGCATCATACATTTCTAGAGCCATATACATCAAAAACTTGATCCTCTTGTAGCCTTGACTAAGGTATAATGTTATTTTGACTTGATTAAAAATCCAAATTGACCGCAACGGTCTCTGACTTGACAAGACATGTTTTACTTCTTTTCAAGTACAATGAGGCAAATTTTAATCTAAATTTGCTATAAGTGATACACATGAAGTCTTACACTCAACAAGTTGGTGATTTGGTTGTCTTGAAACTCGTGATGGCCAACCTGACTTGCTTCTCTTGCTTTGGTGAAGCCTTATCAGGTTTGTTCAAATACAATGACATTCAAGGTCACAGATGTAAACTTGATCAAAAACTCAAAATGACTTCTTCTACAGGCCTATAAGGTTTGGTTGTGATATTTATCCTATAGCTTGCTTACAATTTGTTAACAAATAAATGACCTTGACCTACAAGCTCACACTAATCATGTGCATTAAAAGCTTCAAACAAATGCTAAAGAATCTGGAGTCCTATATCATTATACCCGTCGGATAACTCACTTGGTCATGACATATTTAGTCCATTTTCAAATCAATGACTTTGACCCACTCTTAAGGTCACAGGAATCAAATGTGTCCTTAATAATTAAAAAAAAAACGATGAATAAGTTAAGCCCTGGGGCTAATTCTGTAAAAATATGATTTTAAGGATATTTTAGTTTCTGTAGTTTTT